ACTGACAGAAAAAAAAAAAAAAAAAAAGAAAGGTTAAGTGATCAGTTAGCAGCTGAAAGTTTGGTGGTCTGAATCCATTCAAGAGATGCTATGGAGAAATGGCCTGGTGATCAAATTTTGAAAGATTAAAGTCATTAAAATCCCTATGGAGTGCAGCTCTACTCTGAAACATGCAGGGGGTCACCATGAGTCAGGATCAACTCAACAGCAGCTGGTCTGGTTTTCTTTAGAGGTAGAGGAAATGGAGATTCGAGTGGATAGTTAAGAAGTGAGGGGTTTCTTTTTAGGGTAATGAAAATATTCTAAAGTTAATTGTGGTGTCTGATGTACAATTCTATAACTGTATTAAAAACCAATGAATTGCATAATTTTTTGGGGCAAATTCTATGTTATGTGAGTTACAGTTCAATAAATCTGTGGGAAGAAAATTAAAAGGATGGAAAGATATATGCTAATACTAATCAAAAGAAATCTGGAGTGGCTATATTAATATCAAATTAAATTTCAGAGCAAAAAACATTACCAGAGACAAAAGTTACTTCATAACAATAAAGAAGTCAATTCATCAGGAAGATAGAACAATTCTATCCATTTATTACTTAATAATACAGCTTTAAAATATATAAAGCAAAAACTAATAGAAATGCAATGAGAAAAATTCAAATATTCATATATGGTTGTAGATTTTAATATGCTCTCTTTCAATATTTGGTAAAGCATATAGAAACTCAGTGTGATCAACACAACCAACTTTATTTAATTGATGTTTATAGAATGTTCCACCCAACAACAGCAGAACACATATTCTTTTCAAGGGCACATGGAATATTCACCAAGATAGAACATATTATGGGCCAAAAGATAAGTTCCAATAAACTGAAAAGGATTCCAGTGATACAAAGTATGTTTTCTGACCCACAAATATTTGGAAACTAAATAGTAAGCTTCTAAATAATGTATGGGTTAAAGGAAAATTAGTAAGGATTTTGAAGTAAATTAAAATAAAAATATAACATAATAAAAACAGTACTTAAAGAGAAATTTATAACACTGATTGTCTATATATAAGAGAGGTGTCAAAATAGTGATCTTAGCTTCTACTTTAAGAAATCAGAAGAAGCATATAAGATCTAACGTAAGTAGAATAAAAAAAATAATTAAGATCAGAACATAAAACATTGAAATAGAAAACAGAAAAATGACAGAGAAAATCATAAAATCAAATTGATGAGAAACTAAAAAGAGACCAAGAAGAACAAATTACCAGGATCAGGAATGAGAGAGGGACATCAACTAAAAATTCTACAGATATTAAAAATTGAGAGTATGATGAACATTACACCAATATATTAGTAATTCAGATAAACAGACACATTCCTTAAGACAGAAACCATCAACATTCATTCATAAAGAAAACGTGAATATCCCTATTTCTATTAAAGAAATTGAATTTGTAATTAAAAACATTCTCACATAGAAAAGAAGAGACTGAAGAGAGCTTCACTGGTGAATTTTTCCAAATACTTAAGGAAAAAACAGTATCAATTCTAACAAATTCTTCTGGAAAATTAAACAGGAGAAAACACTTTCCAACTCATTCTGTGATGCCAATATAATCCTACTACCAAAAATAGACAAAGGAAACACAAGAAAACTAGAGACCAATAGCACCAGTTGTGAGGATGGTGCAGGACCAGGCAGTGTTTTGTTCTGTTATACACAGGTCACAACAAGTTGGAACCAACTCAATGGCATCTAACAACAACAACAAAACAAAGAGACAGAAGTTTTGCAAAATCAAACCTCTAGGAAGCATCAACTCAAACAATACCCTGTAAAAAGAGTAATTCGTGACACACGGCCCATTTCTGTTTCAAACAGTTATACAGGACCCCTCCTGATGACTGCATGCACTATCAGTGGGAAAACAGCTGCCCAATACACCTCAGAGGAGGAAAATGTAGTAGGGACCCATGGGTCATGAAAAGGCTAATAAATAAATAAATAAATAAATAATCACCACTTTATAACTCGTAATAAGTTAATGGACCTAGAGAACAATCAAAGGTTTCTAACATTACAAGAAGAGAAAAGGGTCTATATGCTTCCTGATAGAAATGTGCAACATAACCTACAAAGTATACTAAAAAAACAAACAGGAAAAAAGTAAGCTTGGGCCTATAAACCTCTAAATCTATATACTTAATTATATTTGCAGAAAATACAGGAGATAGAACATATCAAATAACAACACAAGTATGCAATCAGCAAAATCTGGACCGTGAGTAATTCTCCAAACTGTTCTTCAATAGATATACTGCAATGGGGGAGAAAAAGGATGGAGGGGAACCTATAGGTCAAAACAAACTTAAAAGACCAATCAATCTATTACAATATATTCCCATCTTGATTCAAACAGAAAACTGTAAAAAAGAAAAAAAAAGAGAGAAATTGATTAAAACCTCAGCAAAATTTAAACATTAAGAATGTTAACTGAATATGTGATACTAAGAAATGATCAATCATTTTTTATGTTTGTGTGGAAATGTTTAAAAAGAATTCATATCCTTTAGAGATGTATATTAATTTATTTAGGAATGAAGTAACATATCTGGGATCAGCTTCAAAATAATCCTGGATATGGGGGTAGGATTGTAAGTGGAGTTGGTAATGGCTACATATGAAATACCAATGGCTAAGATTTGAGAATTTTTGTTCAAACTGGTGTACATATTATTCTTTCTACTTTTGTATAGTTTGAAATTATCTTTTTGAGAAAAAGAATTTTGTCTCATTAATTTTCTAAGTGTTCTTTTCAGTTCAGTGTACCATCTTTAGGCAGTTTGTTTTTTTTAAAAAAATGACAAGCCTATATAAAAGAACAAAATGTATAATAAACAACTGGAATTAAAATGATCATTGGACTTGGATAATTATTTTTTAATGTCTATAACAAAGAAAGGGAGCTCTGGTAGCATAGTGGCTAAGACACTTGACTGCTTACCAGAAGGCTGGTGGTTCAAACCCACCAGCCACTCATCAGAAGGAAGGCTGGGCAATCTACTTCTGTAGTGATATTGCCTTGGAAACCCAAGGAGAGGTTGCTATGAGTCGGGTCCGACTCGACGGCACATAATAACAACATAACAAAGGATATCAGATTTTAGTTCACCTTAGCAAAAACATGCTATTTAACAAAGAAATATTTAATGCCAAAATAATGAATGACAACCAAAATGGCAATTAATTGCACCCAAACTGGCATCTTATTATTGGGATGTTTATAATTATTTACTCTTTTTGTCTGGAGAAAAAAATACTGAGAAAAATCCAAAGCCTTGTATCTTACATAAATTGAATTACACTATTTTAAAAGCAAAAATTGAACTTAGTACCTTTATTAAAGTCTATGTGGTTAGTAAAGATTAGAACTACAAATTTAATTTAAAGATATAAATAAAACCTTACTGGAAATATACATTAATTCTTTTAAGTGAATATCTCCTTCAAAATTGGTATGAACTATATAACTATACAACTTGAACCATATAGCTGGAAAGTCTCACTTTGAGGACTAAGGTGCACCTGATCCAGCCATAACATTTTCAGTGCCCTCACATACATGTGAAAGGAGTAAAATGAGTAAGGAAAATGGAAGAATTTAGGCATTCGAATTATGGGTTGACGAAGAATACTGAATATACCAAGCACTGCCAGAAGAATGAACAAATCTATCTTAGAAGAAATATAGCAAGAATGCTCCTGAGAAGTGAAAATGGTGAGACTTTGTCTCAAGTACTCTGGATATGTTATCAGGAGGGACAGCCCCTGGAGAAGGGCATCATGCTTGGTAAAGTAGAGGGTCAGTGAAAAAGAAGAAAGCCCTCAACAAGATGGACTGACAGTGGCTGCAACAACAGGGTGAAATATAGTAATAATTGTGAGGATGGTGCAGGACCAGGCAGTGTTTTGTTTTGTTGTACACAGGATCACTATGAGTTGGAACTGACTGGACGGCACCTAACAACAACAAAAACAACAGGCATTTTTTTTGGAGGAATAGAGGCACAAGGAGAAGGCATTTAAAATAAATTTGAATTGTAATATCTCTTAGCTTCAGATTTTGAAAATCAAATGAAATTTAAGAGTCACGTGCAAAAATTTAAAAATGTTTTAGCTCATTTTTGATTCATATCTACTTCAAAGATAAAACTCCAATTGAATTTCTGCCTCTAAATAAGTGCAATATATGAAAACACATCAAGTCACAGTGCGGTGTAGTAAATTACTTAGTGTGGCTTTTCTACCCATAAGTCTTTGTAAACTCCAAGGTGGGATTTTCTATGAGCAACTGAGGAGCTCCTGATTGCTGAAGTTGTCCACCTGGAGTATTTCTGTTGGGAGTGGCACAAAACAATGTTCTGGGAGGTGCCCACTCACTCTCAGGTACTTAGAGTTCTGATGCTATGATTGACTAGTTTGACCACCCTGCCAGGCTCAAAAGGAGGCCTCCTAGAGGCAGAACGCTCTCTGACTGCTGGTTGAGGAAGACGCGCCCCGGAAAGAGACGCATGCTGCTGGGAAAGAGACGCAAGAGACACACGTTGCTGACTGAGACACCGAGGGACCAGCACTGCTGGGAAAGAGACTGTGAGAGACTGTTGGCTGAGGGATGGTGGGCTGGGAGAGAGACTGAGCATTCTTCCTGAACTTGAGTTGTAGCCTGGTGCTTCCCTAATAAACCCCATAATCTGTGAGTTGTGTGTGGCCACTACAGTGAATTATCGAACCCAGGAGAGAGGTGGTGGGTGCGAGGTGGTGGATGCTTTGGGAGGAACAGTTGGTGAAAGGGCTGGAGGGAGGCAGCATGTCTGGCCTTGTAGGAATAGGCCTTGGGTTACTGCTGGTAATCCTGTCTTCCTCCTGTAAGGTTAGAGGAGGTCGGAACATGTGGCCTCCTTGCTGTTTTTGCACACAGGAATAAGAATATTTAATCCTACCTGAAAAAGATCCAAAAGAGGCTTCCAAGAGAGCATTAAGACTGCTGCTCTGTTGACGGTTTTGGGAATTTCAGAATAAAACAGTGTATTCTCCCTGTTCTCACCCGACATAGCTGTAAGAGAAAACAATAACTTATTATTTTTTTAAAGCAGTGTTGTTACAATCATGGTAGACAGTACATAAGGCCTTCTACATACTACATTATTATGTACTCTATGGGATCCAGAATGGGTTTTATAGAAAAATGATCAAATTTCATTTTGATATTAAGATCTTAGTGACTCTCTCAAAAAAAAAAAAAAATACGGAAAGTGAATTTGCTCTGTAAACTTTCACCCAAATCACAATTAGAAAAAAAGCATAAAAGCATGTAAGATGATATAGAGAGTTAGAATAACTGTCATTTTTAGAAATTTTTAAAAATTGTTGGTCCTTTACAAGTTGGCAATAGACTCATGGGATTCCAAGTCAGGGCACTCTGACAATTTCAGATCATAAAGTTTCTTCTTTTTCTGAATCATTTAAAGCACTTGCTCAGAAACATACATACATGAATTCTAATTTTTATTATAAAAGTTCTAAAATATAATCATTAATAAGGTTTTCGGAGTTTCAAATTAAAGAATTTGTTGTTGTTTTTGTTGGGTGCCATAGGTTGACTCTGATTCATAGAGACTCTCTGTACAACAGAATGAAACACTGTTCAGTCCTGCACCATCCTCATAATTGTTCCTATGCTTGAGCCCATCATGTCACTGTGTCAATTCCTATCACTATTAATCCATGAGGGTCTCCCCCTTTTATGCTGACCCTCTACTTTACCAAGCATGATAACCTTCTCTAGGGACTGGATCCTTCTGACCACATGACCAAAGTAGGTCAAAGTCTGACCATTCTTGCCTCTAAGAAGCATTCTGACTGCACTACTTCCAGGATAGATTTGTTTTTTGTTCTGGTAGTTCATGGTATAATAATAATAGTATTCTTCACCAACACCATGGTTCAAAGGCACCTGTCTTCCTTATTCATTGTCTAGCTTTCAGCAGCATACGAGGCAGCTAAAAATACCATGGCTTGGGTTTGGCAAACCTTTGTCTTCAAAGTGACATCTTTGCTCTTAAACACTTTAAGGAAGTCTGTAGCAGCATATCTGCCCAGTGCAATACGACATCTGATTTCTTGACTGCTGCTTCCATTTGTGTTGATTGTGGATCCAAGCAAAATGAAATCTTTGACAACTCAATCTTTCCCCATTATAATGATGTTGCTTATTGGTCCACCTGTGAGGATTTTTGTTTTGTGTTGAGGTGCAATCCATACTAAAGGCTGTAGAGTTTCTGATCTTCACCAGTAAGTACTTCAAATCTTCTTCACTTCCAGAAAGCAAGGCTATGTCATCTGCATATCACAGGTCATTAATGAGTCTTCTTCCAAGCCTGTTGCCACTTTTCTTCTTCATATAATCCATATTAAAATAACACACAGTCAGATGCTTGACTTGCTAAAAATCTCTTATCCTTTATTGGGTATAAAAGAAAAAGTTCTAAACTTAGCAAAACTAGGTCTATTCTGTGTAATGATCCAATAAATTGAAGGGCAGTTAACAGTAGTGTGGAATGAGCTTCATACAAAAGAAAATAACACAAAATTGTTATGAAGATCTGAACCAAAGTAAAACAAAACTCTTCTACTCCAAGAAGTGGTGAAAAAGTTTCACTTCCAAAAACCTAAAGGAGAATGAAGGAAGGAGTAAAATCACACTGAAAGAAGAAACTCTTTCTGCAGTGGCACAGCTCCTCAGCCTAGTATTTCTGATAAGGGAGAAGGCAGTCTACCAAAGGGCAGAGTTAAACCCTGCAAAGGCTGAGGAAAGCACCCAAATATCCACATCTTCTTCTTTTATCTCCATTTTTTCTAAATCTTTTTAGTTTGTGTTGCTTTTTGAAGTAAATAGTTCAAAAATGGCTGACATTTACTTCAACATTTATTTTGTGTTAAATGTATTTTCTATATACTAGAGTTGATTTGTTCTAGAATTCTTAAGGTTGTGGTCACTTTCCACACCATTCTTAATTTTACAAAATATGATCATGTCCTCTTCTCTTAAGCCTCCATCTTCTAAAATATTTCAGCATTCAAATATGAAAATGAGAAAAACAAAACCAGATTCTCATCTATCCTCAAAGAAGACACTCCCCATAATCATTTCAACTGACCCTCTGTACACTGCTCCTAGCTTCATAATGTCTTCTTAGCTTTATCCATGACAAATAAAAATCTCCAAGTATTCTAGGAATAAACAGACCAGTTCTATATAAGCACAAAATGGGCTTTCTCGATGTTTCTTTCCTCATCACACACTGGTGTTTTATTGGTCTTCAGAGCTACAGCAATACATATAGGCTGATGTTCTCAGGTAACAGTCTCAGTAAGTTCTCTGTTTCTCTAGGACAGTAAATGCCATAAGAACAAGAGGCAAAACTTAACATATGAAAAAGCACATTGTAGTAGAAATGGTTGATGTGCTTGGCTGCTAAACGAAAGGTGAGGTTCAAGACTACTCAGCGGTGGCTTGGAACAAAGACCTGGAAAGCAACTTCCAAAAAATCAGTCATTGAAAACTTGATGGAGTACGGCTCTACTCTGACACAGATGGGACTGCCATGAGTTGGTGCCGACTCAATGGCAATTGGTCTTAATGTGATAAAATGTTTACTGCTGCCTGCTACTAAAGGTTTCTTCTCTTCTAAGTATGCCACATTTGCAATAAGATTTCTCAAAAATGTATAATTTCCTATAAAAAAATTCTTCCAATTAGGCTTTCAGAGAAATTATACTAAAATTAAAAAAAAAAAAAAAAAAAGATTTATATAGGGAAAAATGAAAACTTGGAGAGATTAAACTCTTCAAAAAATGAGAATGAATATAATTTTCTTTAAAAGCTTATTATCTTAAAGATGTTAAGTTTAAAATTCCCCTAAATTTATCAGTTAACATAATGTAAACTCAAAATAGTACAAATAAGATTTGTGAGGTGAGGCACTATAGAAGCCAGTTTTAATTTCTTCTAGAAAAACAAGCAAGTAAAAGTGGTCAAGAAAATGATGAGCATGATAGAGCACTATAACGATCACAGCAGAGGACTGGCTCTTAATGTGGCAGACAGACCATGGGGTGAAACAGAAAGGGCAAAAAGAGACCCAAATACACATATGGGGATATACTCTATGGTAAAGGTGGCATTTCTAATTATTATGGGGAAAAAGGCAGATTATTCAAAATACTCTGTTAAAATAACTAGAGAGCCAAAGCATGGGGGAAAAGTAGTTTCTCTACTCAAAATAAACTGACACATACCAAATGACACAAAAATTAAATGAACAACTTTATTCATTAAAAATGTTGACCAAAAAACCAAAAACCAAACTCACTGCTGTTGAGTCGGATCTGACTCATAGCGACCCCTCCTTGGGTTTCCGAGGCAGTATCTCTACAGAAGTAGATTGCCCAATCTTCCTTCTGAGAAGTGGCTGGTGGGTTTGAACTGCCAGTCTTCTGGTTAGCAGTCAAATACATTAAATATTTGAAAAAATATAATCCTAGAGTTGAAAGAGTCTTTCAAGATATGACACAAAACTACAAGAAATAAAAAATTTATACTCCCTTCCCCCAAAATCACAAATTCCTGCCAAAAGATGGCAAAGGAAAAAGACAAATCAAAACTGGGGGAAAATACCACAACGAGTTAATTTTCTCATTATACCAAAAAACTCCAATCATATATTTTGGAAAATGATAGCAATAACGGTGGCACAACATGAAATATGTCATAAATGTTCCTGAGATGTAAATAGGTAAGCTGTTATGATGGCAAATGTCATCTTGTGTATGTTTTCACCACAATAAAAGTAAAAACGAAACAAAAAAAACCTTTCCAATCAATAAGAAAAAGATCCAAATCCAATAAAAGAAAAGACAAAGATTTTCAGAATAGTCACAGAAAACAGAAAAGGAAATACAAATGGCTTTTAAACATATGAAAAGATGTTCAACCTTACTTACAAAGAAACATAAAAGTACAAGACCATGTTCACCACCTCAAATTAGGAAGATCAAAGTTCAATTACTCATAGTTGGTAGGGGGTAATAATACTCTGAGACAATGCTGATGGCTATATAAACTGTATATATGGCTACATACAATCACATCTCATTATTGTACTTCGCTTTATTATGCTTCACAGATATTGAATGTTTTACAAAATGAACATTTTCAGCAACCCTGCATAGAACAAGTCTATTGGCACCATTTTTCCAACAGTATGTGTTCACTTTGTGCCTCTGTGTCACATTTTAGTAATTCTCACAATATTTCAAACACTTTCATAATGCTATTCCACACTTAATAGACAATTAGTGTAAACACAACTTTTATACGCAGTGGGAAACCAAAAAATTCACGTGACTCATTTTATTGTGGTTATTATTTGCTTTTTTGTAGTAATCTGGAACCAAACCTGCAATGTCTCTAAGGCATGCCTGTATATAACCTTTTTGGAGGCAGTATCAGTCAAAATTCAGAATATATATCCCATCCCCTTTGTCTCAGCAATCCCACTTTTAGGAATTAGTCCTGTAGGTATATTCACACGTATGAGAAATGATCGAACAGTGTAATCACTGTATCTTTATTTGTTTCTAACTTGACCATTCCTAGGCAAAGGCATTTGGAACTAGTTTTAGGAAGAAGTAATTTCTTTAACTTTGACTTTGAAATTAAGATCATTTCTATTACAAAGTCAATGAGACAAGCCAAGCCAAAACTAAAATAGCACCAGAACTAAAGTTCTTCAAATCAAAAGGTTTGGGCTGTCTTCTGTCTAGTGGAACCAAGTCACTAACTCATTTATTTATTCACCAACATTTGAGTACCAATTTTATCTAACCTCCATGTCTGAATAAAGAAAATATCTCATCAGGAGAACTGTTAACGTCAAACTCACCAAGGTAATAGATTCTGTCTGAATGAGGCCCATCTGGATCATTCCTCTTCACAAACATAAAATCATGTGGTGCCTTAGCCATCATGTAGCCATGATATTTTCTGGTATCAGCAAGCAGCTTTTTCAGCTGACTCCACGAATATCGCTCAACATAAAACGGCTCCAATTTAGGCTGATCTTGTGATTCAATATTCTCCTCACACTCCGCAGTTTCAAAGATCTCAACACCCAGCTGTTCTGTTTCCATTGCTGCTGCCATGTTGCATTTTCCTAGAAAAACAAGGAACATGAAGCTGTTCACAGGCCTGACTTCTCTTATATTAATCAGAATGACAGTCTGATAGGGCTAAAAGGAAAAAAAAAAAAGAGCTTTAGCACAGCTGCAAAGGAAACCCAGTAAGAAAAGCAATAGCTCCTCCTCCTGTGTTCAGTTTAAAAATGAAATTTTTAAAAAATCGAGGTCACATCTATTTCATAGTGATTATAAATCCCTTTGGGAACTTTCACAAAAGAGTTTCCTTACGTATCTCTTGCCAAAATTCCTTTTTCTTTCCCACACTGGAAGGAAACAGGCCATATGCCAGTTGGCTGCTACGCTCCACCCAAGAGTGTGTCAATAGTGAGGCTAAATGTGCCAAGGGAGTTAAGTGTTTCAGCATTTTAAAATGTAACATATTTAATAAACATCGATTTCTTCAGCTAACAGTAATAATCACTACCAACTAGAATAATAATATAACTGTTGTAAATAATGTACTTCTGATAACCTCCCTAGGGTTAATAAAGATAACAGAAATACTGTTTCTTTTAAAATGACACTCCAAACAACTTAATTGGCTGGTACATTTTTGAGTCTTCTGCTCTTGCCTAAGCATCTTTATCTTATGATCATTTAAGGTGATGCTGTATTTTAAGGAAACTTAGAAGACTACAATTAACGATTACACAATTTTTACTCTCATGATTAAAAAAGAGGAAAAACAGACATTATCTTCAAGTGGCTTTAATTAGCTGATGGAGTTGATGCAAAAACATTTAATGTTTCACTATCAATATTTTGATAGAAGCATAATCTAATTTACTACTTCAACCCAAAAATAGGTTTAATAGCTCATCTACTAATATTTTTACTCATTTCACAAATCCAGAGAGGATGTATTTTTCTTTTATCTCTTTTAAATGCAACGTGAGGAAAGTTATCAGAATATACCAATATCAGTATCAGAGAAAATAACAGTATCACAAATTACTGTGTGAAGTTTTGATGTGCATTACTTTTAAATTACTTATGACACACCAAAAGAAGCAACATGAACAAGAATTCTGAGAAAAACCTGTTCTTTTTGAACTAATAAATGTCAAAACATATGGATTTGGGAGATAGACTAGATTGTGTTTATGTAACCAATTTCATAGCTGTTTACTACTTCTAGAACACCAATCAATACATAGCTTTACATTTAACGTATGTTTTCTAAAGCACAATTTTAAAGGTTAACATGAACTCATGGTAAAGAACTAAACAGAGAACAAATTTTTACCAAGTGTGGGTTGTGAATCAGTCTACCAGGCATGAACTACTAACGTGCAAAATGAACTGAACCATATGGCCTGGATACTGTTTTTCTTCATGTTACAGTGAACCATACACTACCACTTTCAATAAAACAGCACCAAAAAAGTGGCCAGACTACCACTGTTAACCACTCAGAAGGGGATCTTTGTAGCAGAGCCTGGATAGAGTGGGAGAACGATGTGGAACAAAACTCAAAATCACACACATACACACACAAATGGGGGGTGGATTGCTAATCTGATAGAGCCTATGAAACCACTGAGACTATGGCCCCAGCTGTCCTTCAGGTCTGGAATTGAATGCACTCCAGTGGCTTCCAGCCAAACAAAAGACAGGCATATGAGCTGAACATTTACATTAGATAGATACACTCCTTGGAGAAATTAATCATGGGAGAATAGAAGGGCTATGTATGCACAGGTAAACAGCTTCCGGGGGCAGGAGTACATGGGACGGAAGGACATAGGGAAGAGGTGGCTATGGGGAGGAAGTGGGAAGACAGCTGTTGCACTGTGGGAGACTGCAGTCAATGTCATGAGACAGTATATGTGAACTGCTACATGGAAAATGAATTTGCTCTGTAAACTTTCACCCAAATCACAATTAAAAAAAAAAAAAGTGGCCAGAAAATCAATTAGACAGTTACTTCAGATATACAACTTACAATATTACTACAACTGGACATTCATTTTCAAATGATTGAAATTCAAACCATCTTAGGCAAAGAATTGAGTCATTTAGCTCAACTGTATTCAGCAAACTGACAAGTGGTAGTATATGACACTGGTAGCTGGTTACCCATCTAAAAGCTAGTAGAAACCTTCTTTCTATCAAACATATCAATAGTCATAATTTTATTTCTAATGGAGGGAGAGGTGAGAGAAGACTCTTCCCAAATTAGGCTAATTTTTCTCAGCTTTTATTGTGTTAAGTCTGGAACTTCAACTCCAAACCACTGGTCCTAACATAGTGTTAAGGACAGAACAGGGAAGAAGCTCAAGAGACAAACTTCCCAAGTCTTACTGCCCAGCTTCTTGAGTCATTATTAAATTGACATCTCTCCTGTGTAAAAGCTGCATCAGCTTACATTTAAGCAATGTTATCTGGTATTCCTAAACTGTACTAGGTCCGTGGATTCACTCACTCACTCTACCCTTCCCCATACAGTTCAAAAGATATTCCACTCTATGGTAAATGTATATTCTACATTTTGTTGGACAGACCTGGTATTATGTGATTTTAGTAACTTACTCATATGTGTAACTAAATGACTTAATTACCAGACTTTCATAACATTTATACATAAATACATTCTCACAATCTGTGACCTGACTTTTCTAAAAACTAGAACACAGAGTCAACATAAAATCTCAGCACATTGCATGTATTTCACTGTCCCATCTACCTCTTCACTTAATTACCTTCCCTGGTGCCTACCTGATTGTATTTTCATCTGCCCAGATCTCTTCCACATTCAAAGAGATCTTTTTCATGGGACTCAACTTCAAGCACAGATCCCTCTGCTCATCCTGCTCTCTTCTCACAGGAGTCTTTCCTTTTATCACCATTCAATCCTGCTCACCAGGATAATGAAATAAGATATAAGGCTATTGATCATTATTAAAATTATAAATGTGGCCAAAAAGATTAAATCTAAAAGTCCCAAAATAGTACTTAAAACTAATACAGAAACTTTTTTTTTTTTTTTTTGGTAAAATCCATACTGTCTAAATTATTCAGTATCTGCAATTTACATTATCAAAATTGCAGAATTATTTCAGATATTTAGCTCAAGTACTCAAAATAATATCCTGACAATACTGTAAAGCCTGTTATTAAGACATGTTAAAAGTAAAATTATGACAGTCCTCCAAAAAGTATAAAGGCTATAATGATGTGAGGTTACTCAGTGGCTACTGAAAATCCTCAAAAATGATGATTAACAAAATATTTGTATGTGTATGTTTCTGTCTTTTGCATAATAATCTCATAATGAACTGTTGTTATTATGTGCCATCCAGTCAGACCCAACTCATAGCAACCCCTCCTTGGATTTCCGAGGCAGTATCACTACGGAAGTAGATTGATTGCCCCATCTTCCTTCCGAGGAGTGGCTGGTGGGTTTGAACCGCCAGCCTTCTGGTTAGCAGTCAAGTGCCTTAGCCACTATGCTACCAGAGCTCCTCATAATGAACTAGTTGGAGACAATTAGACTTGGTGGGATAACCAATAAGAATTACAGAATGGCCATTTTTGTGTAAAGGGAACTAAGTTGTATTTAATAACTTAGGATTTACACAAAATAAAGAATGTGCTGTTTTAAGCGCATTCCATTTCTGCTTCTTTCCTTACCACTTACACTCAGAGAATAACTGAAATAGGACAATTTTTATGGAAAAGTGTTAAGTTTGTCGAAATTTTTGTTTAGTAAAAGAAAAAGGAAGATCTGTGATTACACCTGCTACTTTGTTAACAGTTTTCATTCTGGGCTTTTGTAGCACAAGTAGATGATAGAAAGATGTAGTGAGATAGGCTAAGTGGCAAATAAAAGAAAAACAGTGAAGTTACGGTAGCACGACAAAAATGGAATAAGATGTCAAGATATCTTCCTACAGCGCTAAGACCCTCACTTAAGAGAAGGGCATACTGGCTTCGAAAATAATCTCAGAACTCTTGAACTTGGATCTACCCAAATGACATTCTTTAATTTTTAACGCAAAGGCCACCCAATTCGTCCACTTAAACACTTCAAAAGTCTCTGTGAGGAGTCCACAGGTAATTGACGGAGTTCTGGTAGCGCAGTGGTTAGGCAGGAAAATTATCACAGGAGCAAAGAAAGATCCTGGGAAAATTGTGAACAAGGAAAAAGAGGTGTAGCAGAGAATGCTGAGAAGGTCTTAGAGGAGGAAAGTGAGTGAAGAGGAAGGTTTGACAAGAAAAGAAAGTATATCTACCTTGCAGCAGATGAATGGAACAGAATGGGAAGGGGACCGTGAGCAGGGCAATAAGGAGCAGAGAGGAAACTGACCTAGAATAAAACACTAGAGAAGAGCACCAGCTGGGAAACGAGAAAATCTAAGGCTGAGTCCGATTTGCCACAGGACCTTAGACAAATTCTTTAGCCTTTCTGGGCTTCCGTGTCGTCATCCGTAAGCCCGGATAATACCTGGCCTCCCAACCCCAAACAGGTGCGATTAAAATAACAGACGTGGAAGTCCAGAGCCCAGCACCCTGCACTCAGGAGGTTCCCAGTGAACGTTGGTTGACTCGGAATCTCAGCTTCGGCTTCCTCTTCCGGAAAGCGGGCCCCCGCCACCGGCTCTACCCCCGCGCAGAGTGGTGCGCGGGGTAAATGTAGAACCGGCTAACCGGGAGAACGCGCCGGGAGGTTCCGCCGTGAGACCGGGAGACCCTAAGCTGGTTGAGGCCCAGGCCTCTCGGGCGAAGGGGAAGGAGAGGGGGCGGATACTGCACCTTCCCCCCGGCCCCGCCCGGACCGTCCCGACGCGCGCTACGGAGCGGGCCTGCGCCGCCTCATGCCGCGCCGCCTCCACTCCTGTCCCAGCTGCAGCTACAGCCGCAGCGTCCAGCGGCTTCCTCGCGGCAGCGCCGGTGGCAACCAAGGAGCTGAACACGGTGCTTAAACACGGCTACGGGGGCTGCACCAACACTTCCGGTTCCTTGCAACCCGCCCTCGGACCGGCGAAGGTGCAGCCGGCCCAAGAAAGGCGCCGCTCCCTGCTGCGCCTGGCCAGTTCCGACTGCGCCGTCTATCGGCTGGAGGAGCGAACGAGTCGAGGGGAGGAAATGGGTGGAAAGGACCGATGAAGTCCGTTAAGGGACACTGACCTTCTCAAAGTCACAGGACGAATTGTGGCCCTTCTGTATTCATTAAGTTTTCCATTCAACAAATACATATGGAGTGTCTGAAATATCCCAGCCATAACTGTAGAAGCTGGACTTAGAATCAGGAGCAAAACAGACAAAAATCCCTGTCCCTTTATGGAGATGACACGGAGAGAGGAAAGGGACTAGGGCCTTGAAGATCTTCTCAGAGTCTCATTGTTGTGATGGGAAGAAACCTGAATTTGGAGTCAGAAAGCTTAACTCTAATACTAATTAGTGATCTCCAGCAGGTCACTGAATCTCTTTGAGTCATGGTTTCTTTACCTGTAAAAGGATGTAATAATACATACCACTTAAAAAAAAAAAAAAAAAACACCACCAGACGAACTGCTGTCGAGTCGGATCATACTCATAGTGACCCCTCCTTGGGTTTCTGAGACGGTGTCACTACGGAAGTAGATGGCCTAATCTTCCTTCCGAGGAGTGGCTGGTGGGTTTGAACCACCAGCCCTCCGGTTAGCAGTCAAATGCTTTAGGCACTATGCCAACATACCACTTAGTTGCTGTTAAACGAAACCATGTATGCCACATTAATTCATACAGATGAAGAAGCTGGGGTGCAAGCGATTTAAGTGAGTGACCTTCTATAATCAGAACCAGAGGCAGGTACCTTGAACCCCTCAATTGTTTCTCTAATTACATTCACTGAGAGAAGGAGAAAAAGAGAGCCTGGGGAGATGACTGAGAGCTGGGCCTCCTCTATTTTCTGTTATTACCAAGGAGCCATGTGTCAGAGTTGTGTCATTAGGATTTATTATAATAGCACTAATAAAAGATCCCATTGGGCACCATGTTCCACTGCACAGGATGTAATTATTTGCTCTGAGATTAAATGAACTTTCTCTGAGGCTTTTTTTTTTTTTTTTGAGTTGTGCTCTCCTATAAGAAATGTAGGAGCTCTGGTAGCATAGTGGCTAAAGCACTTGACTGCTAACCAGAAGGCTGGAGGTTCAAACCCACCAACCACTCCTCAGAAGGAAAGTTGGGCAATCTTACTTCCGTAGTGATACTGCCTGGGAAACCCAAGGAGGGGTCGCTATGAGTTGGGGCCAACTCGACGGCACATAACAGCAACAACATAAGAAATGTATAGTCATTTTTGTTGGGGCTCTTCTATGAATTCTGCAAATGACTTCAGAACAGATTTTAAGGCTTTAAATGCACATATACATACTGACAAAATACAATGAAATATTTTGCATTTCATTTCATGCATCCAGTGGTTATTGAATCTCTACTATGTACCTGTCACTATTCTAAGCAGTAGGGCTGCAGTGTTGAATAAAATAGACAAAATCCCTGTTTGTAGAGTTTACATTCTAACGAGGGGAGATCAAACAAACAAAAAACCCCACTGCCATCCAGTCGAGTCTGACTCATAGTGACCCCCATTGGGTTTCCAAGGCTAGAAGCCTTTATGGAAGTAGATTGCCTCATCTTCCTCCCACACAGCAGCTGATGGGTTTGAAGCACTGACCTGGTTAGCAGCCAAATATCTTACCCACTATACCACCAGAGCTCCTTAATAAGGGGAGATAGATCTGCCTAAAAGCAAATAAGCAGATAATGGCATAATTTCATGAATTAAAAAAAGAGAGAGAGAGAGAGAGCCCCAGAGAGGTAAAAGACTTAACCTAAATCACATGACTAATTATGAATTGTGCTAGATTTGAATCAGCTCTCTTGGTGTGGTAGTTAAGGTTATGTGTCCACTTGACTGGGCCTGGTTTTGAGTGGCTGTATAGCTGGATGTAGTTATTCCCCCTGATGAGACTGGTACTCAACTCCATGGTGGAATCTACTGGAGCAGCTGAGTAGCTGTCTTAGGGATGTGATCTGCTTCCACCATATAAAAAGGCACCTTTGAGAAAGGTCTCTTAATCTTTTTGGCATGCTTGGACCCTGCATATAGCCAAGTCTTCATTCAGTATCCTGCCATGTTGTCTGCCAATCTTGGGACTGTTTTTGGACTTGAACTAGTGACCTGCTGTGTTGCTTATAATTTGGGACTATGCCATTTTACTTGCTGACCTTGGGTTTGTCAGCCTCAGCTGCCAGCACCTGCCTGAGTTAATAGAAGCCTCCAGCTCCAGTGGGCTGGGAGAAGAGGCAGAGCTGAAGCCCAAGGTCAAGGGGCTTTCACCCAGCTCCTAGAGCTGTCACTTTGAACTTGGACTTCTAGCCTCCTAAACTGTAAGAGAATAAACTCCTGCTTGTTCAAGCCACCCACAGGTTAGAGTGGCAAAAGGTAACCAAAACACTTGTTTATTGTCTTACTTTCTCCCTCCGTGGTCATCCAACTGAATGCAGAAATTATCAAACAATATGGTTAATATCACATAAAAGTAAAATTTTGTGGAAGATATTTTAAAAAAAGTTGCAGAAGTACATCAATAGGGAACTGTGAGAAATTCAGACTGGATTCAAAAGAGGATTTGGAACTAGTGATATTATTGCTGATGTCAAATGAATCTTGTCTGAAAGCAGAAATACCAGAAAGATGTTTAGCTGTGTTTTATTGACTATGCAAAGGCATTCAGCTGTGTAGACCATAGTAAACTATGGATG